ATGGTCCTAGGTGGTACTGGATGGTACAGGATGGTACTGGATGGTACAGGATGGTACTGGATGGTACAGGATGGTACTGGATGGTACAGGATGATACTGGATGGTGTCAATAGTCTCCTTTCCCACCACTGTGCCCCATCCCCACCTTTCCAATCCTTAGGTATCCAGACAGACCTCGTCAGACACACAACGAAAGTTCAGGGTGTGTGCAGGCCCTCAACTGAGACACAAAGTTAAAACCTGACCCCTGACACTGTAGGACTAATCCAGGTGTCACCAGGCACCCCAAGATAGGAGATGCCAGGCAGAGGATGTAGCTCGGTTGGCAGAAAGGTTACCTAACATGTCCAAAGCCCTGGGTTCAGTCCCCAGCACTGCAGAAACCAGACACCATGGTGGACTTCTGTGATCCCAGCACTTGGAAGCGAGAGGCAGAGAATCAGAAATTCAAGGTTTGCTATATAGTGAGTCCAAGCTAGCCTGAACTACATGAGACTCTGTCTCAAAAACCCAAAGATACTTTGTCGTTTTTAAATTAAGATTTCATAGCAGTTATCTTGTTATAACAGTACTTCAAAAAGCAGAATGAATTTGAAACACTGTTTCTAGAAAACTCAGCTACTCAGAATCAAACACAAAAATTCAAGGTCCTCCATTTAGAGGTTGCTGTATTTTAGTGTCTAGATGAAAAGAGGAAGGGGCAGAATAGCTAAGAGGTTGAAAGAGGGTTTGTGCCGGCAGCTCTGTGTGTACTTCTCGTGAACATTTCCTAGTGCCCCCTGCTGATAGCACACAGAAGATAAACTGTGTTTACAGCGGTCTCTGTTCTCCAGAGCTGCCTTTGGTTAGAAATGGACATTGATACTGTTCAGGACAAGGCCCTGTGCACCCTCCAGAGTTCCTACCCCAGTTGCTCTAAATACGTCACTAGAGACTTAGGATCTTCAACCCACATAGAATTCTGAACATGAAGTAACCAGTGTGGACAAGATGATGATGGGACACCAGGATTTAGCTATGTATATCCTTTAGCCTGAGAGTATTTTGCACTCCTGTCTTCCTTCATATTTTTATTTTATCTATCAATAAAGAAAAAAGGATAGCGGGATGAGTGTTAGCCAGCTAACTGTGGCTACCTTCATCTGAAGCTGCAGTGCCTATTTACAGCATTCTGGGGTGCAGCCGGCACTTGGACAGCACAGAAGGCGCCCTACGTTCACCACGTGAGCTGAAGGAAATGTGAAAGACTCTTTAATTTGCCTTATAATAAAATTCTTGTTGTACGATCAGAAGACACCACTAAATAGTTAAGAACCTAGAAGAGTTTAACAACAACAAGACGCTGTTCGCCATCATAATTCTGGAGAAAATAACTTCATCCACCTAGTGCAAAGAAAGAGAACCAGACAGAACCAATCAAGCTGATCCTTGAGCAGGGGTCATGAAGAACCATGTAGTCTTGGTGACTCAGAAGCCTGTCACTATCCTATGTACTCCCTGACAGCTGATGGAGTGTTATAAGTGACCAGACCAGAGAGACTCATTTACCTTCTGTGTGCCAATGGCTGCAGACTGTCAAATGTAGCTCTGGGCTGGATTTTCATCTGATTTTCAATGAGATGACTGAGATGAAGGAGGGAGATGGGGATACAGGATAGTTCAGGGAGGGCACTTGCGACTTGTCTGTTTTTAGGGTGTCTGAATGTTCATGTGCTTGGGTGCACATGTGTGTTGGTACATGCATCCAGGAGCGTGTACATGGACGGGCTGGAGGACTACTTTGGAGAGTTCCACAGGCACTGCCCACCTTTTGTTTTGCTTTGTTTTGTTTTGAGATAGGAGTACAAGTTCCTCTTCGTTGCTGTGGCGAACACCATGATCAAAAGCAACTTAGGGTAGGAGTTTATTCCGGCTTACAGTTCCAGAGGGAGAGTCCCTAAGAGCTGAGGGAGCATGGCTGCTGAAGCAGGAACCTAGAGATTACATCTTCAACCACATGCAGAAAACACAGAGAGCGAACTTGAAGTGGGGCAAGTCTATAAACATCAAATCCCACTTTCAGTGACGTAGTTCCTCCAGCAAAGTTGGACCTCCTCAAGGTTCCATAGCCTCCCTTAACAGTGCAACCAACCAGGGACTAAGTGTTCAAATATGTAAGTCTATGGGGGGCATTTCCTATTCAAACTACCACATAGTGTTGCAGGAAAATGCCACTTATTCGTTCTGGTTGCCCAGAACCGAAATAACTACACAGAAACTATATGATTTAAAATACTGCTTGGCTAATGACTCTAGTTTACTCCTAGCAAGCTCTTACATATTAAACTAAACCCATTTCTATTATTTTATATTTTACCACGAGGCTTGTGACCTACTGGCAAGATTCCAACTGTCAGCTTGTGTCTTTCTCCTCTGGTGGCTCCATGGTGTCTCCCTGACTCTGCCTTCTTTCTCCCAGCATTCGGTTTAGTTCTCCAGACACGGACCTACCTATATTCTGCCCTGTACAGGCCCAAGACAGTTCTTTATTCATTAACCAATAAAAGCAACACATATACAGAAGGACCTCCCACACCACGCATAGTGCCTCTCACTGGCCTGGAATTCAATGATTCAGTCAGGCTGACTGTCCAGGGAGCCAGGTGTGTACCACCATGGCTGGAACTCAAGTCTTCACACTCTGGGGCTAACTCTTTATCATCTGATCATCTCCCAGCCCCTACTTTTGTTTTTTTAATTGATCAGCTCTATGTTTATTGAAAACCTGCCATAGGCACTCTCATACCTAGAATATTCTATAGACCGTTAGTTCCACAAAATGAAAATCTTGAGGTTACATAAATTTTGGCAACAGTGCATTTCCCATTCCCATTGCACCTCCACGGTTCACCATGTAGTATGAACTGAAGTCCTTGAGGAAAGAGAAGGAATAAATGTGTTAACATAATGTTTTTTTTTAATCTAATGACCCATAGAATATTCTTAGTGTTGGGTCAATGCTAAGATTTCTGGCTCATGGTCGTCGTGTGTCATCATTTATTACCTTAAGACAATGGGATTTTGCGCATTTATTCATAATCTTTCATCAACTTTTCTCATTTTGACAAGTTTATATATGTATATAATACACTCAGCCTCCATTACCCTCTCGTTCCTTTCCCACCCACATGACTTTTTCCTCTTTGCAACTAAGCCCATCTTACTTTTTGTCTTTATTTAAAACTTATTATTAAAAATTTTTACATGCAATCTATCTTATTATATTCTTTTCCCTCCCCAAACTCCTCCCATATGCAGCTTACCTCCCTATTCACCCAACTTCATGTTCTCTCTCTCTCTCTCTTTCTCTCTCTCTCTCTCTCTCTCTCTCTCTCTCTCTCAAGAAAAAGAAAAAGAAAAAGGGTCAAAACAAACAAAAAAATCTAAAGGACAAAAAAATTACTAAACCAAACTAAAACAAAAATCACACAAAAATATTGAATCCATTTTGTGTTGGCCAATTATTGCTGGGCATGGATCTTACCTTGGATTGTGGTTGACTTATCTGGTTTCACTCTATTGGAGAAAACTGGTTTTCCTTTTTCCATGAGGTATCAATTGCAAATAGCTTCTTGGTTGGAGATAGGGCTTTAAGTCCACCTTCCCTTCTTAGGCTGGGATTTTGTCTGGTTTGAACTTGTGCAGGACTTGTGTGTGCTCCTCGGGCTCTCTGAGCTCAAATGTGTATCGGTCCTGTTTGTCTAGGAGATACTGTTGCCTAGGAGTCATCCACAGTCTCAGTTCTTCCAATCTTTCTGCTTTCTCTTCCACATAGATCAGCTTTGAAGGAGGAGGGGGTTGGTAAAGATATTCCATAGTCTTACACTGTACGTTGTCCAGTTGTGGGTCCCTGCGTGTCCCATTGTCCACTTGTGTGTCCCTGAGAGTCCCATTGTCTAGCTGTGGGTCCCATCTACTGCAAGAAGAAGCTACTCTGCTGTGTGCTGAGTCAGACACTAATCTGTGGGTACAGCAGTAAGTCATTAGAAGTCACGTTATTGCTACGTTCCTTTAGCAGAACAGTAGTAGTGGTTTTCCCCTAGGTTTGAGACCAATCGAGTCTCAGGTTCTTTGCCACTTTAGCAATGTCAGGTATGTCTTCCATCTCAAAGGGTGGACCTTAAATCCATTTTTAAGTGGCTGGTTAGTCCCATGACATTTGTGCCACTGTTGTACCAGTATATCTTGCAGGCAGGTCACTGTTGCAGGTCACAGTTTTGGTAGCTGGTACCTTACTCCTACAATCTAGTACTCTTATGTCATGTGTGTGTGTGTGTGTGTGTGTGTGTGTGTCTGTGTGTGTCTGTGTGTGTCTGTGTGTGCGTGCACATGTGTGCCCACACGCATGTCTTGTGCAGGTGACACATGCCATGGTCAGAAGTCAGACTTCACAACACTCCTCTCCATCCTCTGGCTCTTATCATCTTTTTTACCTATTCTGTGATGTTCCCTAGGCCTTAAAGGGAGTGCGTAGATCATGTAAACATCCCATTTGGGGCTGTTTACTCACAATTTAAAAATTTGAGATAAGTAGTTCCCAGCCCCAGATAATCCAGCAGGCAGCTAGTAATGTCTGAAGACATAATCAAGCAGGCAGCTAGTAATGTCTGAAGAGATGGGTTTGCTT